TTCTCCAAGAGCGGTCTTATTTCCAGGATCAATGCCTTGTTTAGCATTGTCTGGCATGCTCACCTGAATGACCAGAAACTCAAGGTTGGAACCCAGGTTAACAAAAGCTGTGCACATATGGGATGGGAGCCACCGCAGGAGAATTGGATCCAAATCCAATCTGATGGTTCTGTCAATGCACAAAATGGAAGTGCAGCTGCTGGGGGACTGCTGAGAGATCATCTTGGGGGATGCAGGGGTGCTTTCACTTGCAACCTTGGCAACTACTCCGTCACAGCAGCAGAGCTAAAAGGTGTCGCTGAAGGTCTTAAGATGGCTTGGGACAAAGGTTACCGCAAGGTGCAGCTTAAGCTTGATTCTACTACGGTGATCTCCATTATCAAAGGGAGCCTGAATGATTCTTATCGTCATGGAAACATTGCTATTCAATTGAGAAACCTCTTGAGTCTTGATTGGGAAGTTGTTGTGTCTCATGTATTTAGAGAAGCGAATTTTGCTGCCGACTTCTTGGCAAAAAAAAGGTCATGTTTGTAATTTTGGTACACATCTCTTCGATATGTACGACCAAGAACTTGGTCAATGGCTCTACTATGATGTAATAGGTACTATCCACGAACATCTTATTATGATTAATACAAGTTAGGCTCCTTTGCGCCAGTCTGATTACAAAAAAAAACGTAATAGGGGACTAAAAAATCATGTTTTGCTCTAAGAAAAAGGAGGTCTGGTTAACAAGTAGAGAGCTAAAAAAATCAGATTTTGCCCATTGATTTGACTCTTTTTTTTTTGTAGTAAACTGGAGCGAGACGGCGCTCCAACCGTTAACTTAGAACAAGGCGAGAGGACTGAATGCCCAGTACATCATGAAGAAGCAGATGGCTGAGTGATGGAGTCGTGGCATGGATCGGGTGCTCACCGATGTCGAGAGAGTGTCCCAACGAGGCTAGGTGATCCGCTACCACGTTAGCCTCCCGGAACACATGTTTGAGGTTGATCTGCCACTCCCTTCCGATGAGCTGACGGATCTGGGCAACCAGGTTGTAGTGCGGGCTCCCCTCCGGCGCGCTTTGAATCAACGCCAGTGCAGCCTTTGAGTCCGACTGAACCTCCACTTTCCTGACGCCCTCCTCCCATGGAGTCCTTAGTCCGATACAGATTCCCATAAGTTCAGCTCTCGTGATGGATCCTCCTCCCAAGTTTGCTGTAAATGCTCGAAGTAGCCGTCCATCCTCCCTCCGAATCACTCCTCCCGCTGCGGAGCTCCCTTGGCTATAAATAACCGAACCGTCCGTGTTCAAGCAATACCACCCCGTCGGGGGAGGCAGCCAAGCAATGAGCATGCTTCTTCTGGCTACCACTTCCGTGAAAACCTGCTCTTCCTTTCTCCAAGCTTCAATGATCCGGGCATGCCACCAAGTAGCCTGCTTTTGGGTGTCGGCCACTGCTCCAAGCCGCTTCTCAAATACCCAAGTGTTCCTATGCTTCCATAATACCCAGCACACCACAGCGAACAACGTCGCTTCCACTTTCTTACCTCGTCCCAACAGAAAGTGCAGGAGCCATTGATCCATGTTTTCTTGGAAGAACATCTCATCATCCTCGCCAACCAGAAACTCCGCCCAAACCACCTTCGCATAAGAGCAGTCCCGAATGACATGGAGCGTCGATTCTGGGCCATTACCGCACAAGGGGCAGCTGTCAAGGTTGGTGAGATGTCTCCTCCTCCTCTCTTCATTCGTTAGGAGTCGTTGGTGAACCGCCAACCATAAAAAGTATCTAATGCGTTGGGTTGTTGGCGTTCGCCAAACTACTGTCCACAACGGTCGATAACCCCCCGGCGCTGCTTCCTCATCAATTAAATCATAAGCTGACTTTAGAGTAAATTTTCCTGAATCTGTGAGACTCCAAATCGGGATGTCCTCCCCATCTTCTTTTGGTGTCGGGTGGAGCTGAATTATGTGCACCCAACTTTGCGATAGGAACGCTTGAAGGTATGGCACATTCCATTCCCCGTTAAGGACCAATTCAGCCACTGTCAAAGATTTAGCTTCCATTGGCAGCTCCCCTACCAAATCTGCAAGTGGCGGTCCATCCTGCAGCCACCGGTCTTCCCAGAAGCGTACTGACGTGCCACTCTTGATGTTACACATGATCGCCTTAGGGAGCAAGTTCAGTACCCGGAGAACACCCCGCCACAAGTTGGACAAACGCCCAGTTGTGCGTGGCTGCCATCTGTCACCCTGCTTCCTAAGGTACTTCGCTCTGACAACTCGTGCCCACAAACTCTCCTGTTCCGAGAGCAAACGCCAAGCAATTTTCATCATAAAAGCTTCATTCATCTTCGACGCACTCCTCAAACCCAATCCACCCTCCTCCTTTGGTCTACATATAGTTGACCAGTCTACCAAGTGAATCTTTTTTCCCAACTCGGAGCTCCCCCAGACAAAAGCTCTTATCTTCCTGTCGATGTAATCTCGTACACTCGCTGGTAAGAAGGAAGTTTGCATAGTGTACGCCGGCAAGGAGGAGAGAACTGCCTGGGCAAGGGTAATCCTCGCAGCGAGACTGAGAGAGTTGACCTTCCATCCAGCTAACCGGGCATCAATCCTGTCAATGAGTGTTGTGTATGTTGCTTTAGAAACTCTGTCGTGAATAACCGGCACTCCTAAGTAGCGACCAAGATTCTTTGTTTCCTGTATTCCCAGTGCTTCACTGATGGCGGCTCCATGTGACTGCGTGACATTACCCAAAAAGAAGACTCGCGACTTGGGTCGACTAACCTGCTGACCCGAAGCTACCCCAAACAGCTCGAGGCAAGTGTTAATCGCCTCCGCCTGTGCCACCGAGGCCTCACCCATTAGAATGAGGTCATCCGCGAAGAACAGGTGTGAAAGATCCGGTCCATTGTGGGATATGCGAATTGGTTTCCATGAGTTGTTCTCCACCGAAGCTTTAATCAAGTGTCCCAGCCTCTCCATACACAGAGTAAAGATGTACGGGGAGAGCGGGCACCCCTGACGTAGGCCTTGAGATGGTGAGAACTCCTCAGTTAAACCGCCATTCCACTGAACTTGCATCTTCGCTGAAGTAATGCACTGCATCGTGAGTTTGTTGAATGGTTCTGGAACTCCTGCAGCCTGAAGGGTGTCCCTGACAAAACTCCACCGGATTCGATCGTAGGCCTTGGCGAGGTCAATTTTCAACACCATCCAGCCCTTCCTCCCTATCTTTGCTCGCATCGAGTGGACAACCTCCTGCAAAATACAAATGTTGTCAGTGATGTGTCGACCCGGAACAAAGCTTGTTTGGGTTTCATCCACTAAACTGGGCATCAGGGGCTTCAGCTTCTCCGCAAGGCTCTTCGTGATAATTTTGTATGACACATTACAAAGGCTTATTGGCCTGAATTGCTCAATGAGGGTAGGTTTAGCTAGCTTCGGAATGAGAGCCAAAATCGTTGCATTTATCATTTCCACCCTTGATGGATCTTCCCAGCAGCTCCTTGCGAATCCGACCATATCAGGGCCAACGAAGTCCCAACACTTTTTATAAAAAAAAAAGGGTTGAGGCCATCCTTCCCCGGGGCCTTAAGGGATCCCATGGCTGCCACCGCTCGGTATATGTCATCGTCAGTAAAGTTTTTCAGAAGCTCGGTCCAGCGCTGCGGTGGAACGTGGCTAAAGCCCGCCGGAACAGTAGTAACCGGCATGCCATTATCTGTGTAGAGATTGGAGTAGTAAAGCTTCGCCATTTCCTGTAACTTAGCCTGATCCTCCTCCCAGTTTCCCTCCTCGTCTTTTAGCGCCACAATACGGTTTTTGCATCGTCTCTGCATGGCCCGATTGTGAAAAAATTTTGTGTTTCGATCACCTGCCACGATACCCTCAGCTCTAGCCTTCTGACACCATAGGAGTTCTTCCTGCAGCAGTATATCTTCTAACTCATCTTGAGCACTTTTCAATAGCTCCACATTACTAGCCGAGTGCCCCTGGTTCTCTAATCTTTCAATCCTAAGGAGGAGCGCGTTTTTCTTCCCAACGATGTGGCCGAAGACTTCTTTGTTCCAGCGCCCCGCTTCCGTCGCAAATGAAGTGATCGAGCTGATTAGTTCATTCCCTTTAGACCATGCTTCTCTAGCCATGTCCTGGAAAGCTTCGTGGGTGAGCCATGCAGCTAAGAACTTGAAGGGCTTAGGGCCTCCCGAGCTGAATTGTGATTTGAGGTTAATGAGTAGTGGCCTGTGGTCCGACTTCACCCTGGGTAAATGGCGAATTGATGTCTCCGGGAATACCTTCAACCACTGCGCATTAGCCATTCCTCTATCCAGTCGTTCCCGTACTCCCGGTTTAAACCATGTAAAGTGCGGTCCTGCATATCCCAAATCATTCAAACCTGCGTCAAGTACGCAGTCTTGAAACTCTCTCACTCGACTGGCATCAAAAGCCGCTCCACCAGACTTCTCGGAGGCATGAAGTATGGAATTGAAATCCCCAGCTAGTAGCCAAGGCACGTCATTATTTTCCGCCAGGTCTCGGATCATGCTCCACAGTTCCCGGCGTTGGATAAGTGTCGGGTTGCCTATACAGCTGAGAATGCCCACGGGGAAGTACCTTGTTGCACATGTACGTGGAGCAACTGGGACGAGCGGGTTTTCTCAGTGATGGTGGACGTAGCCGAATCCCAAAGAAGCCAAATCCCTCCTGCAAAACCCACTGCGTCGACTACTAGCTTCTCGTCAAACCCCATCTTCCCGATGACCTCCTCTGCTTTGTCGCCACTAATCCTTGGCTCTACGATTACTACCATCTTAGGCTGATACTTTCTTTTGTATTCTCTGAAGACTCGCAAGAAGCGTTTGCTTCCCGCTCCCCTGCAATTCCAAACAAAAATCTTTGTATCCATTACAACCATGGAGATTGTCAGGGTAGGTTCCTTCCAACTTAGTTGGAAATATCAGAGGTCCCTGAACGGGACTCCTCCCCCTCATTCGGGACACACTTTTCTGTAACAGCCCCACTATCATGTCCCATCCCAACCGCATTTGTGAGAGGGTTCCCATCCGGGGGGAGTCCCGGAGGATTGGGTAGCGTTGTTTCCACACTGGTCGGGTTATTTCGTCTTGCCATGTCCTGCTCGCTCACGTTAGGTGGAGTGGATTGGCTTAACGGGATCATTCCATCCTCCTCAACCGGCTTATCATCCACTGTTCCTCTATTAAGAGTCTTTTCGCCACCACCTGTAATTTCCAGCGATGCTTCCCCACTCGATTGGCCCTCAGGAGTATAATTATCCTTGTTCACAGTTTGTTTCGGGACCCATTGTTGTGTTACTTGCCGAGTGGCATGTCCTCTCGAGGCTTCAGGAACTTTTTTCGTAGCTATATGATTTTGCTTAGGCTGTTGTCTCTGGGTATCCTCCGCCAAGTCTACTTGATTGTCTCCTCCTTCCTCAACTAGTACGGCGAAGCAGGACCCATTATTAGTATGGCGATCATAACTCCTGTTTTGGGTCCCTCGTTCGTTATTCCTTCCCCCGGAACTCTGTCTCCCTTGTCTCCTATCTCGCCTTCGTGCAACCATCCATTCTCCATACGTCTCCGCATGTCCTGGCTGAGTAGATTGAGTTTCTTTCTGGCTCGCTTGAGTGGCCTCCTCCCCATGAAGGGCAGAGCACTGCTGTATGAGGTGGTCATATGTTCCACAGTGAAAGCAAATGTTCTCTAGTCCTTCATACTTGATATCGTATTCAATCCCCTCGATCTTAAAGTGGGACAAGAGAGGTTTAGTAAGGTCTACTTCAACACAAGCTAGGGCGAAACCTCCTCTCGCACCCAATTCCGTTGCTCGATCCAAGCGGATGGGTTTGCCCACATACTTCGCAGTACGTAGAACGGCCTCCGGGTTAAAAAATTCTATTGGAAGGTCTGGGAGCTGAATCCACACACTCGTGGACTTAATCTCGTGAGATCGTGGATTAAAGCTTTTTATCCATCTCTGCGTAGTCAGGTAGTGCTCGCCAATCTTCCACGGGCCTCCTGTCAGGGCAAGTTAGTAGTCCTCCTTGCTTGTAAACCGTACAAAGTAGTATCCATGTGATTTGTTGGCAATTTGGATAGTGCCTGTTCGCGCCCACAGCATGTTAAGCCGCTTCGCAAGCACTGGATAAAGGAATGTTCTCCCCAGGACCTTGATTATCAATGATGATCGCCATTCTCTGCGATAGTTTCTTAGTTCTGCAGCTGCGAACGGGATCGTTGGAGACCGGGGATCCTCCTCAAGAGCTTCCTCATCCTTATTGTCTTCCCTCATTGCTTCTGCTATGTCCTCTGAATCGGAGTCCTCTACATACCACTTGGTTTCCTTCACCGCTTCACTGAATAGTTTTCTCCGTCCAGCTCCCCAGGCCGAGGCTTGAGGAAAAGGCTCAGTTGTTTCTTGGGTGGTTCGTGGTTCTTTGTTCCGCTCAGCTTGTTCAACTACATCCTCCATCTCCGCCTCCGTGATGTCTTCCACGAAGACGGCTTCCTTCATCGTCGATTCCTCCAAACTTCCGATGGGCCGAACTCTCTTCCGCGGATGCTGCGCCTCCTTCTCCTTCTTACCGTCCGACGACGAGGAGACTTCAGGCGGTCGCCTGTTCCCCGCTACCGGGTCAGGGGGTTTATCTTCACCCACCGGCGCTGGGTTAGCCGGCGAGCTCGTCGCCGCCATGCCGACGTCAAGCGCAATCTCGACAAACCCTAATCGCCCAGAAAAGCCTCTCCGAGAAACTCGGAACTCACTAATTATAATTGAACCAACTATTAATTAATTAAGCCCCACTGATTTGACTCTAAGGAACATTAATTTCATTACTTGTTTTTTAAAGATCTAAAATAAAACTAATAACTAGATGAAAATACAAGGATACGTCTGACAAAAGTGTCACAGTAAAGCACTAAATAAATATAGCTCGATTTGCTGCGGGAGGAGCCAGCCAATGGGTACACTATAGTACTAGTATTACAAATCTGCAACCAAACTATTGTGACTGCCTTGGAAGGCGATGCCTTATCAAGTGACGCTCTTCCACCAGCTCAAAATTGGCCGCTGAAAAGTCATTGCTGGAAAAGAAAGGTTCCAAATCTGTAATCCCCCGTTCTTCGGCCTGCACAATGAATCACGTCAACCTCCGCCTCATGGAAATCCAGCTCCCACAAACTTCAACTAACCAACTAGACAGACATCCATTCATAGGGGGGGAAAAAGACAGACAATGAAACTATTGAGTGGTTTCCTTAATCCTTACCATGCTCTGGAGATCCTGCCTCTTCACATCAATATGGCTAAGCCTCGAGGTTGAACCAGAAACAATCTCCTCAAAGCGCAGAGCTTTGCTCACCAGCTCCCTTAGAAGATTGAGAAGCATTCTGTTGTAATCCATCTTGTATGTGATGTACTTTCTGAAACTCTGGAACACGAATCCCAGCAACGACAGAAGGATGAGGCCCTCGAAACAGGAGGAAATGAATATGAAAAGGACTCGCAACAATCTTAATTGTACCTTCTGCAAAGCCCTCTGCACTCCGTACTTTTGAGTTGATATGAATGAATTCAGAAGAACTCTTATTGCCATGTCCACATCTTCTTCTGTCACGTACTGTCTGAGATGCATTCTGGCATGTGCTTCGGACATCCTAATCATAGATTCAATATGCCTTACAGCTATGGGGACTCCTTGCCCGTGCTGCGGTTCCAGCAAGAAAACACAATCATATTATCAGTTGCTCTAACAATCGTCATTGAAACAAAATATAGAAGCACATGTGCCAGGCCCCCCTCACCGAAGATTCCTTCCGGAGTTCAGCATACACTTGGGTTAGCTTTTCCATATCAGAGTCGTGCAGCCTAGGGAAGATGTTAAGCTTTGCATAGGATATGTATTTCTTTAGCAAATCTTGAGGAAGAATCTAGAGAGAAAACACTACTTAATATTAGACTAAGTGAAGGTGGAGAACAGAAAAATGAAAAACTCCTTCAGATAGGGAAAAAAAACTATCAGGATCTAGAATTGGACAGACCTCTGGATCAGTGGCCACAGAAGTGGCTTGGTTGTCCTCTTGGGACTCGTTCATGGACCGGTCATCCATAGCAGCACCCTTAGGTTGCGACTTGAAATGACTATCTACAACAAATTTTGCAAGCATCTCATCTGCTACAGGATCCACAATATCCTGCAATTAATGTCGAACTTGTTCCTCAGTCATCCTGAATTAGTAGATGTAAACTAAGAAAGATCATCCCTCATGAAAAGATTACCTTGACGACACATAGGATGTCAAAACGAGAAACAATGGGATCTGTCAACTCAACATTTTGCCCAAATGTCTTTGATGAATCATACCTGGGAAAAGGTTCAAGTTGAGCAGACTTTCAGAACATTTGTCCTTCACAACAACTTAACAGTCAGGCAGGAACATGTGACACGAGGCGAGGAAATTTAGGGTGGGAAAAACTTATGGAATAAAAGAAAAGAAAGGGAGGAAACAGAAGGAAATCCCTGCCAGCTTCCTCCTTCAAATCAGTTCGTCTATTGGCTTATCATACGAATCGACACACACACCTTCCCCCTATAGGATTTGCAGCAGCAATGACAGAACATCGAGCTTGAAGAGATGTAACAATCCCAGCTTTTGATATGCTAATACTCTGTTGCTCCATTGCCTCGTGTATGCTCACCCTGATCACAACGTCAGTTTAATTAACACTCATGGCTGAGATTATCGACTGTCACATGTTTGGAATACGTTCCCTTACCTGTCCTGGTCATTCATCTTGTCAAATTCATCAATGAGGCAGATACCCTTATCAGCTAAAACAAGGGCACCTCCTTCAAGGGTCCACTCTCTCGTCACTGGATCTTTGTGGACTGCTGCTGTGAGACCTACTGCAGAAGCTCCTTTGCCAGTCGTATAGACAGCCCTCTGCCCGGTCTTCTCCACATACCTTAATGGAGAAAAGGAAACCATAAAGTGAAATCCATAGTTCCATACTAATTAAGGTTAAAAGCATTCAAGAGAATTGGTTTTCTTCCAACTTACTTCAGAAACTGAGACTTTGCAGTGCCTGGATCACCCAGCAGAAGTACATTGATGTCACCACGTAGACGATGTTTCCCTTCAACATTTTTCTCCTGCCCTCCGAACATTGCAAGCGCAATCCCAGCTTTGACATCCTCATGGCCATATATAGATGGAGCAATGGACTTGACAATCTGAAATGGATATACACTCAGTACTTCTGATCATGATACAGAAAGGAAATGGATATGTACACAATACTGGTAATGAAGGAAAATTTTCACACCCTTTCTCCTATCCTTGGATCTTTAGCCAACTTCTCGATTTCTTCTTTGTCCTCTTGGGTAAGTTTGTATGAAGAAAATAGATCCTGCTTCTTTGTAACATAATTGGCCTCAATTAATGTGGCAAAGACGGGAAATCCATTCTTTGTATTCAAAGATAGGTCAAAGTTGTTCGTGTATACTCCTGTCACTTCCTGTAATGCAAAAGGAGAACGAGACTGAGAAACTAGCATCGGGAAGATCATTAAAAGTTCAAAGAAAGTTCAAGAAAGAGATCATACAATCTCTTCACCAGGGCGTGCACAATCAATCAAATCATTCAGCAGTATCACTTCCTTGTGTCTAGGAAGCCGGCCTGCTGGCACAATTCCTGGGCTTTCTTGAAGGGTGAGTTTCTGGTAATTCCTATATATAGTCTGTGACAAGGGAATGCAAAATATACACATTACCAACGTGTAACATATTTCATGAAAAATCCGTTCCTTAAAATCTTAACATTGTCAGCAGAAATTTGTGACAGATCTAAGGAGATGAAATACTTCACCTGTTCAATATTGACAGTAAATGGCCCTTTTGATTGGCATTCGGGACAAGAACCAACTTTGACTTCTGAATATGAGTTCTGAAAGAAAGGTCCCAATACTGCCCCACATTTGTTGCAATCATACTTTACTTGTTGCAACTGGGGGAAAACTCCTGAACGTCTAGTCACAACTCCCCCAATGCGAATCATGGTGTTTAAATGTATCTGCCTGAAAGAGAAAGCAAGGAAGTTAGCTCAGGTTAGAGCAAAAGCCTGTTCATCTACTACAAACCATGAGCAATACCTAATGTTCCGGATCTGATCATAGACTGGCAAGTTGGTAACTCGGACATAGATTTTCTGATGAATGTTTTTGTACTTTGGATGCAAGTCGAAAACCACACTTTTGGCGACCTCTTCCATGACCTCCAGGACTGATTGGGGTGCATCAGCAAGCCAGATGGCAATGTTTGGGTGAACGTAGATGAACTGCTTGTAGTCAATCTCCAAGCTACACTTATTTGCTGCAAATGGAATATAAAATTGTTACATTTACTTGTGGATATCTAGGACATGGGGAAGACCATTAGGTGAAATGCTTGCACAATTGAACACGAGTAGACTTTTCACCTAACGCCATCTCATTTATCAGCCGCACATACTCGAAATCTCCTTGCCCACTCTTTGGATTAACATAGGTGAGTAGGAACTCCTTGAACTTCCTGGCTATGAAACGCCGAATCTCATCTCTGGTTACCCACTCCCTCAAAGTTCCTTGGACGCGGTACATCTCAAACTCACCTTCATCACCATCTTCATCCTACACAGGCATCCCTTTTCAGTGTAGAACTAATTGTACCAGTAATTGACTTCTTCATCAAAACTCATGGTTCAAGATTAAGGGCTAGCACTTAAAGGTGGGTAGCAATTGATACCTCATAAGGATAATCATCAGTTTGATCAGTCAGGGGCACATCGTCTCTTGAATGTCCACGCTGGGACCTTCCTGGAGAGCTTTGCATACCATCGGTATCATCGTAACTTTGCGGCTCATTAGGAGGCCTGAAATCGGCTCGAGACCTCTTTGAAGGCCTGTAGTTGTCATCGTCTGTTTCCAACAAATAAGGTTTCAAGAAGAATTCAACCTGTCTAATGTAACTAATAATATGAACTGAAGAAGAAACATACATAGGAAGTACGTGTAGCCTTAGCATCAGCTAGATATCGAAAGCTGTACTATAAACTGAATCTTGGTTTTCGTCAATCCAGACATTTGCAATTAAGAGCAACTAGCAAGGCTAAACTTTGATGGAGAACAAGTATTCGGGAAGCGATAATGAAATTGGATCAGTCTAGGGTTTGCAATTTCAAAAGGCAATTCATGGATTGGTGGCGTACCAAGGTCATGGAGAAGCTGAGGAAGCTTCCGGTTCGTCATGCGGCCCTCACGAGCATCGAGTTCTATCTCAGCAGCCCTTCGATCGTGCACGATCTGATCCATATCCCTTTCGTCCTCCAAAGAGTCGTCCAGTCCAACTGACTCGTACTGGTCGTTCTCTTCCATTCTCCGGTAGTCACTGAAATCCAGCGCGGAATCAGAAATTACAGAAACAGGTAAAGGTCAGTCTTAGATTCAGAGAAAGAGGAGGGAAGAACTGAGAACAGAAATGAAAGAATACGGACTCCAAGAAATCGTCGTGGTAGAGGTCCTCTCCTTCCTCCTCCTCCTCATCCTCCGCGAGCTCTTCCGGCTCATCGGGAATGATTTGGGGATCGACGGAGGCCTCGTCGTCGTCGGTATTGTTTTGGCTGGTATGGTGAGGGAGTTGATCTGTATTGAAGCCTGCCGAAGTCGGGGAATCCGGAGTAGATGGCTGGTTTTCAGAATTTGGAGTCGGCGACGCCATTTTCCACCTTGCAGCTGTACTCTGTTCCGCGCTTCGGAGAGTGTGAGTGAGAGTGTCCCAAGGGTTTGCTCTCGGCGGTAAGAACAGTTCCTGAATCGCAGTGTACCAGTCCCAGCGGCCCTAGTAGTACCGCCGAAGAGGATGTTGGCGGGAAGTGTTCGCGCCAATTTTGGTATGGACTGGGCTCCGCGTCGTCCTTAAGAGCTGGGCTTCAGCCCAAGAAAGAAAATGCTCAACTCTGTAGGTATTTAATTTTGGGTTAATATTTTCTGCCCCACTACCCTAATTTACTATTCTCGTCAATATTTAGAGCATAGTTAGTAAATACTCCGTTTAATACACGTATATGTACTCGTACGTACTTTATCCGTTTAAAACTTCCGTATCCGTATTTTTGTCAAGTCGTTTCATTTTTGTCCGTTCATTTGGTGGCTCCCGTACTAAACACGTATAAAATTCGTATAACACGTTTTATATCCGTATTTAATGAATTAAATTGTTAACTTTACTATTATTTATATATTTATTTATTTTGAGAAATAATTTATTTTATATATTTATGACTATTAACGTACTATTAAACGTAACATTAGCTTAGAGATGAAGTAAAATACCCGTACGTATTATATCCATAACTTTCCCGTACCGTATTTTACTAACTATGATTTAGAGGTGTCAATTGGACGGGTTGGGTCGGTTTTGGATTGGATCTAACCGAGTTGGGTTCAATCAGGTTGCAAGTTCAATCGGATCGGTTTCCATTTGGATCGGGTTCAATTGGATTGCGGGTCCATTGGGTTACAACTTACAAGTAAATCAAGTCACTGGTCAATTGGGTTACGGATCGGATCGGGTTACGGGTGCATCAAATTACGGGTTTATTGGATTGCGGGTTAATTTGCGTTTGGTCAGGTTGGATTATGGGTTATTCGGGTCAACCCATTGGATCATTTACTTCTTGGCAGAAAATAATGTTTTGCAAACTATCAATATATGAATGTAAATTGTAGGTAATGATACAAAACTTAAGAAAATGATAATATGAAAATATTTTACACATACAATTAAATATCCATTATATTAGTATAAAAACTAAATATAAATAAAATAGTGTATATAAAAGTTTTGTTGTTGGTTATAATTTTTTTTTGTTTCTCGTGAGAGATTGTAACTTCACTTATGTTGTTAATTTATAACAAAATTTGAATCAAAAAATTTTGAGAATGGAGTAAAAAAAGGTAGACTATATGCTTATACATCTCGATATGAATCGTCTTAATTAAATATAGTATGACCTAGATGTGTGTCTCTTCATTTCCAAGAAGACTTATGAACATCATTCCGAATCGCTCACTTATATATCATCACAATTTTTTGTATATTCACGGTAACATCTCATCCTAAAACTAATGGGTCGAACAACGGTTCACTCAAATATGATCCTATCATATAGTTCGAATCGTTGATTTATTAATTTATAAAAAATAAATAAAATCAGTAAAAAGTTGAGAATGAGGTAAAAAGGGTAAACTATCCACTTATATACCTTGATAGGGATCATTAATTTTGGGATTTCATTAATTTTCATGGGTTGATTTTTTTAATATAGTTATGGGTGATGGAGATACGAATTTGTGTCTAACTCTTCCTATTTATGTTCAAAAATTTATCCTTTGAATTTCATAAAATAAAAAAAATGAATGAAAAGATATTTCACATATTATTATTTTAAAATTTAAATATTTAAAAAAAAACCTCAATTTATATCATCAATTCTACAAATAATTTCAATTATTATGAGAACAACAGTTCTTTCTTGGTAAATTTAATAGTATAATAATGTATACATTGAATTTTTGTACAAGCATTCGGGTCAAATGGGTTATTCGGGTTATTCGAGTTGGATTCGGTTCGGTTACGGGTTACTTGGGTTATGAATCATTCGGGTTATAGATGGGTCATGTTATGGGTTGGATCGGATAATGAGTTCATCGAGTTATGGGTTGATCGGATTACGGGTCAATTTGTTTCGGGTTACGGGCGGGCTTCGGGTGGTTGACTTTTTGTCAAATCGGGTTACGAAATGGTTGTGGGTCAGGTGGGTTGGGCGAGTTAGTCTGGTCGGGTTCAATTTTGACAGCTCTATCAATATTATTATAAAATTTTGGCTTGAAATAGGGTGCATAATCATATCTGGATCCTTAGTTTCAAATAAGATAAGAAGTAGCAAGATATGAAGAGCGAGAATTAATGACTTTTTATTTTCCTAACTTTTTTAATTAGTTTTTATGTTCTTCGCTTAAACTTGGATTTCAAAAAAAAAATGTGCATAGATATAGAATGCGTTTGTTGTGATCTACAAAATGCTATTCATTTTAAATATTCGCGAAAAAAATTTCATACCACTTGTTACCATCTTGGTAGTTGGTACCACTTTCGTTTTTAACTCGAATTTCGAAGAAAAAAATTACTTCAAAGAGAAAAGAGGAAGAGATAATTTGGAAAAATAAAGGAAAAGAAGTTTGAGAGGTTTAAGAGAAAAAGATGAAGAGAAAAGGTGAAAAAAGAAAGGGAGGAATTTGAAATAGGGGTGGCTATACGGTCCGGTCCGGTTAAATTGGACCAAATTGATCCGGTACTAGTCCGATCTTTTCGGGAATATAAGGAGTCCTTACATAGTTAGGTGCATTATCTGTAACAAAGTGCACAATATTCTTCGGTCCAATCAATTTAACCACATCACCAAACAACTCAGCCAAATTCTTTGCATCTTTAACCATATCTGATGCATCCACAGATTTGATGAAACATACACCCTTTGGACAATAGACTAAGAAGTTAATCAATGATCTTTGGCTCATATCAGTCCAACCATTAGCCATTAAAGTGCATCCAGTATTTTTCCAACTCCTTCGATAATCATGTATAATTGTCATGCATTCTTCTTTGACATCTCTTAATAAAGGCACTCTCAATTGGTGATAAGAAGGTACCTTATATCCAGGGCCTACGGCAGCCGCTGCATCATATGATAACTGATAATATTTCGAATGTGCAGCGTTGAATGGAAGCTTTGCATGATAAAACCACTTAGCCACCATGAGGTATGCATGCTTCTTTGCCTCTTTTCCTGCGAAAGCACTCCGAATACCAGGTTGAGCTCCTCTGCTTGTTCTTGGAGCAAAGAAATTAGGAGTTGTTGCAGCGCTTTTCCCTTGTACTACCTTGCTCCTCAGAATCATCAACATTAACCCTTGCAATAGGCGTTGATTTAGTAGTCGCCTTAAGTAAAGCCTTGAACCTCTCACGAATATCATGGCTAACTTGAGGACAAGGACCAACTTGACCCCTTTCTCCGGCTAAATGTTGCTTCACTCTCGTAATTCCTCCACCTCTTATGATACGAGAAAACAGTTTGCACTTGTTCCACAACTTTCCATCTTCAGTTCTGATTTCTTCGGCATACTCCCAAGTTGGATATTCTTTTGAGCGAATTGTGGAAGAAGAACCAGCATTACTACTTGCCACAGATGGTTCACTGGATGCATTGCCGGAGTCCATCTGCTTTGATCTGTAAAATTGAACATAGACTTTACCAAATAGAGATCATGGAATTTCTGATGCTCATAACGACTACTCAAATTTTCATTATATGCATTGGATCTTAGCCACAATCAAATTATTAATACCATCCCGAGATGGATCTTTCTACACCTTTTGTTTATAATTTGTTTGTAAAATTGACCAACAAAATGGAGATTTAATAATAGAGTTGTTACCTGAGGCGAGGGCTGGAGGTGAATTGAGGAAGAAGGTGGACTGCTGGGTGCCACTCGATTGTCGCGCACAGGAAGAAGAAGGGCCGTCGGCCTGCCGCGTTTCGTGCCTCGCCGAAGGATTTTTCTGCTGGCGAATCGAGGCGTCTGAGGAACAAGTCGCGTTGAGGGGAAGATGAATGCGATGGTGGGCTGCTGTCGAATCGAGCGACCCGTCGGAGGATTTTGTTGCCCGGGCTGCTGTGGAATCGAGACGCGCCAGAAGGAGGACACGCCAGAAGGAGGCCGCGCCGGAAGGACCTTCGACGAGGCACAGGCAGGAGGTCGAGGCTGGTGGGCGTCTGGGCGGCGAAGTGGAGAAGAATGGATGCGTCGTGATTTGGAGCTCGGCTGCAAAGTGAAACCCTCAAACCCTACAATTTTTTTACCAGCAAAACGCCATCGTTTTAGTCCTTTGGCCGGCATCTCCCATACCGGTCGAACCACTAGAATTTTCGATTTTGACCGGCTTTGACTGGAGGGTTGTGCCGGTGGTATTCCAGTCGGTTTCATGACCAACACCGGTTGGACTTGGTTCAACCGGCCGGCATACCACTGGCATGACAACCATGATAAGGACCAAAGATTGAATTTGATACAGTCTGGTCTTGATCCGGTCCGGTCTTAACCCGATACGGTCCCATTTGATCTTGATTTTAGGTGTTGGGGGTCTCTTATCCGGTCTTTATCTCGTTTTTTACCTCAAATCTAAGCCCGAATATGAGATTGGATTGTTTGCTATCCGGTCCCAGTCCGGTTTCGGGTAAAACCAAACAGTCCGGACCAAATAGTCAGCCCTAATTTGAAAGAGAAATAAGAAGAGGGGTATAAGTATTTCTCTTACATGGTGGTTCCTCCCTCGTTTCCTCAGCTCAGCTGACTCTATTTTGTGGTTTCTTTCTAACCCAAGTAGGGGTGAGCAACAAGGTGAGATTAGGTATCGTCCTGTTTGAAACGTGTACTCAGTTCCATTTGGAGAGAAAACTTCATTTCATGTCTCAAACTCGTACGGGTACCCGCAGGTAACCCATAATTTTGGATGATTTTTCTTTATTTTGACTTTTTCTTTGGTTCCTTTTTACTTTGTCCGAAGAATTCCACTCCACTCAGAGACTCATCTAACGACGACTCTGATCCAGGCGATCGCCGTCTAGTATTTTTTAGAACACACTGCCAAGTAGTAATGGCAATGGGGCGGAGCGGGGCGGGTAAAACCCGTGCAGGTACAGGGCGGGTCGGGTCGAACCACACTTACATATTATTTGAAAAAAATACACGAAAATTTTACTGTTTACGATAAAACTAAAGGAAAAACACTATATGAA